TGTAGAACAAAAGATAAAACCGCAGCTTTTTTCTATCCTGTGCTTTGTGTGGTTTTTAATGTGTTATTGCTTTCTGCCTATATCTGTAGTGTAGAATAACAGTGAGTAGAAAATATCAGCATCTCTGCTTCACACATATTTTGGGCACTGTCTCCTCTGAAGATCAGAAGCAGTGTACAGTACCATGGTTGTCCATTCCTTTAGTCAAGCTGTATTGCAGAATGCTTATATCTGAAGTTGTTGACTTTAAAATGTTTTTATAAACAGAGCTGAGACCAGTGCAGTGTTTTGGACTGCTTGCAGAGAGCGGTCCTGAGACTGGGACTTGACAAGATGGGGATTTGCTTTGGCTGCACCACCAGTCTGTGGAGGTCCCTGGGCTTCTGTATTAGTCACCTTTGTGCTATTTAATTTCTTACTGATAGAAGCACATGTCCAACATGCATGGCCTTTGCTGGACTCATGAGAGAGAAGCTATGGAGAATGTACTAACCTGAAGCCAACAAAATCTCTGCTTCTCCTACTCAGTTTATTCTGTTTTAGTAACAGACTGTGAAAGAGTTGGTTGATGTTCTCAGGTTTCTAAATGCCTGCCTCAGGTATGCTACACCTGTTTATTTTATCGAAGGGTTTGGGTTGGGAGAGACCGTCGGAGATCATCCTGTCCGCTGTGGGGAAGGACATCTTTCAGTAGATCAGGTTGCTCAAAGCCTTGTCCGACCTGACCGTGAACACTTCCAGTGATGAGGCATCCACAGTTTCTCTGGGCAGCCGGTGCCAGTGTCCCACCACTCTCACTGTGAAGCATTCCTTTGTTACGTCCAATCTAAACCTATCCTCTTTCAGGTTACAATCATTGCCCCTTGTCCTGTCATTACAGGCCCTGGTAAAACGTCTCTCTCTGTCTTGTAAGCTCCCTTTAGATATTGAAAGACCTCAGAGGTCTCCCTGGAGCCTTCCTCTTTTCCAGACTGAACAATAGCAGTTGCATTTTCAGTTTTGTTTTGACCATCTACCTTAGAATTTGTCTTGTCTCAGATTTTTGGATCTGGGCATTGCTTTTGGGATTGTGCTGTGAGTGATGTGGATCCCTGGAGTTTAAACACCTGTGTTTTGTCTCTTGTTAACCAGGTGCAAATGTAATGGACATGCAAGTGAGTGCATGAAGAACGAGCTTGGAAAACTGATCTGCAACTGCAAGCACAACACCTTTGGGGTTGACTGTGAAAAGTGTCTGCCTTTCTTCAATGACCGACCGTGGAGGAGAGCAACAGCAGAGAGCGCCAATGAATGCTTGCGTATGTGTGACCACGCTTGAGGGGAAGCCTCTCGTGGGTTGGGTCTCCTGCCTTTGTTGTGGGCATCCAAAAGCTGACCCTGCGTGATTTTAAGTTGTCTCAGTTGCAGTGTTAAGCACAGTTGTGGTGTTTTTCAGCAGAGGTTTTGTGGGACTGCTGGTCATTCCACTCCTATCCTGTAGGTGCTTTCTGTTAGATCCCTAGAAGGGGCATCTGCCTTCTGGAGGAGGATGGGAGCAACCTTTGGGAAAGAGGTGTGCTGCAAAAAGGTACAGGCTTGTTCCTTATGGAGCTCAGAGGAAAAAAAAATGTAGGTAGTGTGTAGGTAGGTATAATTGACCTTCAAAAAGCTCCTCCTCTGGCATCCGCTGACTTCCTGTTGTATTTGGATTACAGGTTTTTACAATTACTTGTTGACTATCTCATCCAATTTTGAGGGTGTTGCAACAGTTCGGGACTGCAAGATGCGGATCTCTGTGACTGAATGCCTATTTATTTTGCTTGGTTTTGTGTTGCTGACCACAGCTCCTGGTAGTTTACTTTATGGGGAAGTTTTTTCAGACAGAAAGGCTTTCTTCCTGTCTGACCTCTGTATGTGTTGATTAGTCTCAGCTGTTTGGTAAAGACCTGTGGCTTCCCTTGACAGGCCGGTGAAACCCGGATCTCCTGCTCCCTAGACAGGGGGAATTTGTAATCCTGGGGAGAAACTCTCCTTGCAGCATGGAGTCAGCCTTGCTGTTATCTCCTCCTGCTTGTTTGCATGATTTAGATCAGTGTTGCCATGTGGGAGGGCAGCATTTCAGCTGCAAATGGCAGCCTGACTTGGAAGGGTGTAGTTTTGAAAACACTGTTTTTCTTCTGGATGTAGATGAGAGTGGCCTCGGAGTCTGTTTCATCGTTACAGCCCTGATGCTTCTTCCTCACGTTCAACCACTACAAAAACATGCTTCCCCTTTTCCTTCTTATTGATGCACAGATGCCTTAGGGGCTCTTTGCATGGGTCTCAGGATGCTTAAAGGCTCCTACTCCAGCTCCTCTATAACTTCATGTTGAGCTTTGTGTAGCAGGTTTTGTGACTGTTGGGGTCAGACGGCCGCATGTACCGCTCACTGGTGGTACCCTTGTCTTTGCAGCTTGTGACTGCAACGGGCGGTCACAGGAGTGCTACTTTGACCCTGAGCTGTACCGCTCGACGGGCCACGGGGGCCACTGCATGGGCTGCTCCGATAACACCGATGGTGCCCACTGCGAAAGGTGCAGGGACAGCTTCTATCGCCTGGGGAGCGAGGAGGGATGTCTGCCCTGCAGCTGCAACCCGGTTGGTAAGTAGCGGCAACCAGTGTTTCTGCTTGCAAACTTCCATGCACAAAAAGCACTAGCTTTTCTCTCAGTTACGTAGCTAATTGCAAACTACAGGGTAAAAAGGGTTTTTTTGTTTGTTTTTATTTTCTATTTTTTTTCCCCATGTAGGAATGTTTTTTGGAGTGTATTTTGGTTTAAATTATCCATGGATCTAATTAGGGTTGGGGTGGCAGGGGCAGGTGGTTCACCTCTGCAGCACTTACTTCAAATGTATTCTGAAATAAATTCTCCCCCTCCACTGCAAATGTGTGACCCTGAACACTCCCAGTACTAAAGAGTTCATTTAAATTCTTAGTGAACAAGATGATGTGAGCAGATATTTCTGGAACCTGTTCATACTGAAGAATTGTAGTGAAGTTCAGCTGCATAATTTTCTCCTGCTGAGTGTCCAAGCACTGTAAATACAAACTAATGAAACCTTAAACACAAAAAGGAGTGGGGGTGAGAAAAAAAAGCGTAAACTCCTTTATATTAAACTCCTTTAATAAGTAAATAAAGTAGCTAAACTCCTTTATATTAAACACCCCCCCCCCAAATCAAATAGGAAAATATTCCGCCAGGAGAAAAATCTTTTGTCATCAAGGGAACCACTTGAGCCATGTGGATTGATCCCAGAACTACACCAGCCCACCTCAAATAAGCAGGAAGGAGACAAAAGGGTAACAGTAAGATGTGATGTGAGGTTCCAAAATAGAGTAGCTGAAATAAGTAATTGCTTGCAGCATACCCTAAAAGCGGCCAGTGAGAGGTCTGCCAGAGTACGTCTCCTATCTAATTTTGTCAGAGTTGTGCAGTTGTGAAATTTTTGACCAAGAAAGGCCTCTTTCTTTCTCTCTCTGCTCTCCCAGGTCCTTGTGTTAAACCTTATTTTAAGAGGGGTGATGGTTGGTGTCAGCTGAGTCAGTTCAGAAGAGGCGGGGAGGTGACTTCTCAGGTCTTTAAGGACAGATTTCAAAGGGCTTTATAACTTAGCTATCAGCTTGTGTCCCGTGGCACGCTGGCACCCAAGGCATATTTGAGCCCCTGGATTGGTTTAGATTGCTGGTTTTGTCTGAGTAGGTTTTTTTCCTAAATAAGGGGACTGCAAAGGGATTTGAATTTTGGCTGTATACGGTACAGGTTCTGTGAGTTCTTCTGTCCTGTCCAGCCTAATCATCTTATAACTCCTCACTTGGCTATAATCTTCTGGAGTGGATTGAAGTGGAAAGAAGCAACTATGTCTGTGTATTAAACTATCTTTCTCCTGGTAGTTAACTCTTAACAGTGCTGACAACTCCTAGGCTGATGGCTACACCAATACTTGCAAGAAAACTTTTTGTCTGCTGCGGATTAAAGAGACCTACTGCTGCTTTTTGTGCAAGTCTGTTTGAACAGAACAGTGTTGAGGAAGATGTCCTACCAAAAATGAGTTTTGCTGAAGAGTTTGTTAGGGTTAATGGAGGTTCATGCAGCCTTGCTCCAAAGAGGTGGTTTAGTCTTTAAATCCAACTTGTGAATCAAGGGAGGAAATTGGAGTGTGAAAAGGAGAGGTCAGGACATCCACTGGCAAAGGGGAGATGGTGATTAGGGAGAACACAAGGGATTCAGGGTATCAAATCTTGGAAATGGTACATTGCAGGGGAAAACAGGCATGGAATTAGAAAGGCATATGCAAAGGTAACATGGAGAATGAAACAGGAATAAGGACGAGAATGCAATTTGAAGTTAAAATTATGTTTATATATAATAAGGTTGGTTGGTAGGAATACTTAAAACTGAGTACAGTGTGGAAGACTAAATAATGATTCATCTCTCTAGAGCTGCTAGGAGAAAAATCCCTGTAAACTAGAGGTAGTCTTTAGGTAAGCTGTCACTCGTCGACTTGAAGCTATGCTCCCCGCTTTCTTTTCCTATATTTCTTGCCCGTTTTGTAAAGTTTAAAAAAAATTGCAGGCTAATTTTGCTGGGTGGGTCTGCTGATGTGCCTGTCCCTGCTCTCCTCACAGGCTCCCTCAGCACACAGTGCGACAGCTATGGCCAGTGCAGCTGCAAACCCGGTGTGATGGGTGAGAAGTGTGACCGGTGCCAGCCAGGTTTCCACTCCCTCTCCGAAGCTGGGTGCAGGTAAGGGGGACTGCTGCTCTCTAAAAGAAAAACTAGGCGACTTTTTAAAGCTCTCTCTGTATGGCTCTTTATGAGTTATCCTCTCTCCTGGCTCTTTCAGGCCCTGTTCTTGTAATCTGGCTGGCAGCACAGGGGAATGCAATGTTGAGACAGGACGGTGCACGTGCAAGGACAATGTTGAAGGCTTCCACTGCGAGAGGTGAGTTTCTTCTTCCCGTGGCTTTGTTTCAAGAATGAGAAACATTTGAGCGATGGCCTGAGGTAAACATCAGGGAAATTAATTCTCTTTCCTTCACATCTTCAGATGCAAACCTGGATTTTTCCATCTGGATTCCTCCAGTCCAAGGGGTTGTACCCCCTGCTTCTGTTTCGGACACTCTTCAGTCTGCACCAATGCAGTCGGCTACAGTATCTACAGCATCACTTCCAGCTTCCAGTTTGGTAAAATTGAGCCTTCCTCTGTATCTCGGATTGGGCCATAGAATCCAGTCGGAAGCAATTAAGTAAAACCCTGCTCCTTCCTCCCTGTGTAAGATTGCAAACCTTGGGCAGGCAGGTCCGGGATCCCTCTTTTGGAAGTGCTGAGTTAGTGCTGAAGTTACTGGGAGCTTCCCAGTCAGCAGCTGGCTTGTTTAGCTTGGGAGGAATGAATTCACAGCTCTGTCCTTGGGGACCCAGTGTTAATGTACACCATGCAGGTGCAAGCAGGAATTGTAACTTGTAGATGTAAACCTTTTATAGCTTGAGAGAGGTGCTGGCGAGGGGGCATTTTCTTAATTTTGGAACCAAATCAGGAGCTTCTGATTGAGGGGATTATAATTATTTAAGATTTGAGGTTTACGTGGCTCTGAGTAAAATAGAGTTTTCTTTCTGATGGTCTGTAAGCTCAGGAAAAAAATCTTTGTTCATACAGTCAGCTTCCTGTGTATGTATGTTTTCATGCTGCGTAGTCTGAAAAGAACATCTCTTTAATTAAAATTCCACTGGGGAACAGTTTGTACGAAGACTGAAACTTGCATCAAGTTGTAGGTGACTGCAGGTTTTCCCAGCACTGCTTAAGCTCTTCAGAAAACAAGTTTTCGAACAAGTAGTTGTAGGGTTTAAAGTTAAGTGGGTTCCAGTCATAATTTGAGTTAAGGGTTTAAATTGGAAAGATGATGTTTGTTATCTACATTCTTCTGCACAGCTACTTTCTGAAGTCTGATAGTGCCGGTGTACAGGCTGTAGATTAGTTACGTATGAGCAGTGTGCAGTACGACATGAGAAGTGTGTGCAAAGCTATGTCTTCAAAGGGTGTTCATTCTCGCACATTTGATTTTTCAGGAGAGGATGAGTGGCGTGCTGAGCAGCGTGATGGATCAGAAGTCTTACTCCAGTGGAGTGCGGAAACCCAGGATATCTCTGTTATCTCGGACAGCTACTTCCCTATGTATTTTGTTGCACCACGTAGGTCATTTGAGAAGCAAGTTTTTCTGTACTGCTTGTGCCCTTTCTGTCCTGTCCCCTAACTGTAAGAATTTCTTCCCCTGTCAGGCAAGTTCTTGGGCAACCAAGTTTTGAGTTACGGACAAAACCTGACCTTCTCCTTCCGAGTGGACAGACGAGACACGCGCCTCTCCGCAGAGGACCTGGTGCTGGAAGGGGCTGGACTGAGAGTGTCAGTGCCACTCATTGCGCAGGGCAACTCCTACCCCAGTGAGAACGCAGTGGCCTACACCTTCAGGTGAGAGGGCTTTCCAGGCGTGGTAGGAGTAGCTGGGACCTAGCCTATGGTGCCCCTGGCCTCTGAGCTCTAGAGAGAAAAAAAAACAGCATTAATTTTAGCTCAGATTGTCAGGTTAATTTGAAGCTCGCCTCTAGCAGTATTGCGTAAGTGTATGAGAAGTGTGTTGCAATAGCATGCCGCTGTTGGAAAGGGTGCTTTGAAAGGACACAGCTGTTAGCATCTGAAGGCTTTGCTGATGATGCATTGCTCTTTTCTGTAGGTTACACGAGGCTACAGATTACCCGTGGAGGCCTACTCTTACAGCATTTGACTTCCAGAAGCTTCTCCACAACTTGACTTCCATCAAGATCCGTGGGACGTACAGTGAGAGAAGTAAGTTGTGGGGCAGACACGTTCGTCTAGTGCTCGTGTTGCTCTGTTGTAGGGCCCGGTCTTAAATAGCTGTGGCAGGTTATTTGGCAAAGCCTGTGCCGATTGCTTTTCACATGGCGTTGCTGTGTAACGCCTTCTTGCAGACCTCCTGGAGAGGAGATGGGGGAGAAAGGTGCTGCCTTTGAGAGTCTGGAAGCTGAGGACCCATCACCTGCTGATTCTTTGATTCTAAACATGGCGGTTTTGCGTGTTGCACAGCCACTGTCTCCCAGATTGGTAGAAATACATAGCGCAGAGTCCTGAAGGACAAAGTAGGAGAGGTGCAGGGAGGTTCCAACATTTGGCCTCCATTTCTGCTACACTGGGTACATCAACCTTGTTTCCTGGTCTTACCTTTGCATGACAAATGGGAGGGACGAGCTCTTGAAAGTGCTGCCTGTGCTGAACTTAAGTGAAAGTTCCCAGTAATGGGGGTTTATTAAAATTGAACATGAATTAGGAGCAAAAATATTTTATATATATTGGGTATTGTAATCTGAAGAAGAATGTTTGCAGAAAGGTACAAAGGAGGAATTTGCATTTGGGGAAGGTGGGAAAGCTGCAAGTGTTTTCAGTGTAGGTGATTTGTGAAAAGGAATGTGGGGTTGTGAAATGGAGGAGAAGAGAGGCCTGGAGCAAGCAGTGCCCTGGGTGCTGTAGCCACCGCTTATATGCGGGAGCTGAGAGTCTGCTTGGCGCTCTGGAGCTGCTGTGGTGATACAAACACACTGCTAGAAGTTAAAAACCAGCTATGTTGTGTCTGAACTCGGTTCTGCTTCAGGGAAGGGGCTGGGTGGAGAACAGGGAGCTCTCAAATGCCAGACACAGGAATGGCCTGAGAGGGATAACTGAAGAGTTTGCCCCAAGGCATGGTTTGCAGACGCTGTGTTAGAGACATTATATTAAAGAGATGGTATGTTGTCCTCCCTAGAAAGACAAGAGTTGATTTTGGTGTTTGATTTGGAAATGGAAACCATATGCATGCGGAGCGTAACTTATTTTAACTGACCGCGCTTGCTTACGTGCTGTTCTCGGCATCCTCCTCTGTATTGTTGTTCTCAGCCTTCCTGCCCTGTGCGTGCCCTTTTTATAGTATATCTTCTCACCTGTCTAAACCGTCTTGGAGGATTTTGCTACTTGATTCACCAACTGGGAGCATCCACCTGCTATTCAGGTGTGTGTTTGGTGAGGTGATGGTGAGCATCTTTGTAGTTACACAGCATATCCCTCCTCGGTCCTTTCTAGGTGCTGGCCACTTGGATGATGTTACCATCACAAGTGCTCGCCCTGGACCTGGCATGCCCGCGGCCTGGGTGGAGAGCTGCTCCTGTCCGGCGGGGTACGAGGGGCAATTTTGTGAGCGCTGCTCCTCTGGATACCGTCGAGAGACACCGAGCCTCGGGCCCTACAGCCCCTGCGTGCCTTGTGCTTGCAACGGGCACAGCGAGACATGTGAGCCTGAGACGGGTAAGAGGGGCTGATAAAACAGGGAGAAGCGAGAGGGCGGCTCTTTCTGAGTTGGATGATGAAGCAAAATCCATGTTCACCTCTCTTCCAGGCATGTGCAATTGCAGAGATAACACAGCGGGGTCTCACTGTGAGAAGTGCAGTGATGGGTATTACGGAGATGCGACAGCCGGCACAACCTCGGACTGCCAGCCCTGCCCGTGCCCAGGCAGCTCGAGCTGTGCCATCGTGCCCCGCACGAAGGAGGTTGTGTGCACCAGCTGCCAGGCCGGCACTACAGGTGTGTTCCTACATAAAAAGTCTTTTTTCTACCCATCCCCCATGACTGTGGAAATGTCTCCTGCCAGTTCTGGGGCTCTGGCCCACAGCGAGCAGCACTGAAAGCTGCTGTGTCTTCTGGTTCAAATCCTTCTCCCTTCCTCGGCCCTATTTTCTGTCCTGTGCAAGGCTCAGGACTGCCCATTGTTCGAAAGAACTGCCTGTCTTTCCACACCAAAAGGGAAACAAAGGCTTAATCTGTGCAAAGTCTGAACAATTCTGTGCTATGTAGGTGAGCTGTGCTGGCTTCTGATAGAGCTCTGTTAATTGCACAGTGTTGGACAGAAAATAGCATAGATTGTAAAGAGCCAGGAAGGTGGATCAGGCTGAAATAAAATTAGAAGATGCAGTTTAGCAGCTGGAGAGGCACTGCGGGATGTTTGCAGGGGAGGGCCCTAGGAAAAGCAGGAAGACTGCAGTGACTCACAAACACTGCCTAAAACAATGCAAGACCAAATTTCTGCTCAGCAGTTTCAAAGAGAAATAGGTGAATGGGTAACAGATCTTTTTTTTTTTTTCTTAGCAATAAACCATGGAGTCTGAGCATGTACCCTTTGTGCTGCCTGGAAACAGCACGAAAGTTTTGGGATGGTTGGCAGCCTCAGTGCTTCTCTGCGGATTTTATGCTTGACGTGGCAGAGTCCAGAAGTACAGAGTACCTGTAGATGCTTGAAATGCTTAGAAAAACCCCTGACCAAGCGCAGAGGCAGCGTGTGAGGGTTCCCCATGGGTGCCCATTGCTTTGTGAACCAAAATAGAGTCCAGGGGTCCAGGTTCTCTGCAGCTCAGGTGTCAGTACGAGCTTGTCTGTAGCTATGTGATCGGACAAGAGTTCTTCCTGTCTCCTGCCATCTTCTTGGGATGTGAAGGGAAAGGTGAGGGAAAAAGAGGGTTTGTGTGTGCAAGAACTGCCTGAGAAATGGAGGTTGTAGCTGCCTGGGGAGCTCAGATCTGCAGTAAGTGTAGGGAGCTGCTGAGTTGGATGCTTCAGTGGCTGCACACGGAGGTTTGGCAGATCTTGCTGGCAGCGGGGCTTCTTGGAGCAGTGGTACCCCATGGAGTTCTGCTTGCTTGGACTCTTAAATTAACAACAACTTGCAACATATAAATCTGGCTTAAAGGGATAGTAGGG